TTCGCCTTGGCCCGCGCCTTGCCGCCCTGCTTGCCGCGTCCGGACATACCTCCTCCCCGGTCGAAGCGCTGCAAGGAAATGCTGCAACAGGGCGCAGCCGGCAGGTTTTATCTCTTTCGCGCGCATGGCAAGTGCGAGCGCTGATTGGACAGTGTGTTGCAAGCGCGCGCTTTCACTATCGAATGGGACCCGGGGATCGTTTTCCTTATTCTCATTGGTTGGTCGGTGTGGCAGCTCGTCCAATGAGAAGTGCGAGAACAGCGTCCGGGGTGTTTTTGAACGAATAGTGAGCAAATTTAGCTGGTCTGGGCATCCAATAGGAGTCCAGGTGGTTGAATATGCTAATTACAACGAGGCTACTATGCAGAGTATCTGGATGCGCGCCAGTTTCGAGAGGTTTTTGTTCCAAGTGTTAGTGACCTACCTCACAGGGTTGTTGTGGTGGTGGTAAGATTGAGAGCAGCCGGAAAAGAACGGTGTGAGCCACTTTGAGTCCATAGTAAGAAAAAAGCGGGATATAAATCTAATAAATAAATGCATAAATGAGACCTCCCACTTTGTGGAATGATCCTGTGGGTTCTAGTATTATGGGAGAGGCAGGAAATTTTCTTTCTTCAGAGCGAGCATAATTTTAAACACCTTTATCATGTCATGTCATGTCCACTTCAAGACCAGCGGGAATCCTGGGAACTTACTCAGGACTGAATTCTATGCCCACCTTCCTTTTACTCAGTGGTGCTTGCTTCCAAGTAGACCTCCATAGGATTGTTCGGTAAAGTCGCAATGGTTGCTGCTATATCATTCATTCATGATGGAAAAATTAATCCTTTGCAATTCTCACTTCGAGGAGCATGGTTCTTACCTAGAAGGCGGGCAAAACTTTTCTTGTGGTCTTGACACTCCGGCGCCATCTTATGTTGCTTTTTGATTTCCGAAGATACTGTGGAAAAATTAACTCGTATCCTTGCAGTCACATGGCCTCCAGATGACTTTCTGTCCCATGGGCCGGTTAGCTCAGTTGGTTAGAGCGTGGTGCTAATAACGCCAAGGTCGCGGGTTCGATCCCCGTACGGGCCAGTCTCTTTTCGTATTTTTGAATGAATTACATTTTTATACCACCATAATTGGGTCGGGGATCAGTTTTGAGTCTCTTAACAAGAATTCATTTCTTGTACATCCAAGGGAGTAAAGTCTCCCAATAGTTCCAAGAACTTGATCCTTTTATTTGCAATTGTAGAAATGCATCGGGTGATTAAAAAAAAAAAAAAAAAGCAGCGACTGCAACCCTTCTTTCTAGTGCATTTGCTGTTTGCTGCCTCTCTTCCAATTTCTTTTAGGAGATTTTGAACAGTTAACGCTGCAGAATGCTTTAAAAGCTTATTCTGCTGCGTTGGCCGGGAATCGAACCCGGGTCAACTGCTTGGAAGGCAGCTATGCTCACCACTATACCACCAACGCGAGTGTTTGTTTGTTTTTCCGGAATTCCTTTTATAGATGTAACCAGGAATTCCCACTGTTTGGAGAGGAAAGACATCCTGGAGCTTTGCAAAGCCAGGAATAAAGAGACGGGAGGGGAGGGGAGGGGAAGGATGAGAATTCAATGATTCCAGCTACCTTGTGTTTTCCTTCTCTAACCTTATTTCGCTCCAACCTGAATTTAAATTGCACTGAAGAAAAGATAACCTTGGGACCCAGACCTTTTATGTCAGCCCCCTTGGTTATGGGTTTTTAGAAAATGATGGGGAAGGAGTGATTTATATAAAACTGGAGGGGAGTCAGTGGTGTGAATTTCATCAGTCACCATCACATTATCCATTCCTCTCATGCAGCCTACAATTCTCAGTGAAGGAACTGGGGACGGTGGGACAAATACGACGCACAAGAGGTGCCAAGAAAAGGTGTTTGTAACCTTTGCTGAAGCACTCACCTCCTGGATGTCCGATTTCCAATCGTTTATCTGAGGCACTGCTTTGCAGCATTTCTGGATTGAACTTTTCCATTCAAAAAAACAAAAGTCAAGAGAAAGAGAATTTTTGTCTTCTTAGATTTCTACACTAAATAACCATTTTGCCAAATCTTGGCATGTGTTTTGGATCAAGGACTGTCTTCGTTTATTCTGATGAGCAGCCACCAAAGTTTTAGTCCAACCTTCTTCAATTTGTTTCCAGGATTTCCTAAAGATAAGAAATGTACAAAACCAAGGATGTGTGAAGTTACCCATTATCACAGTTCTGTTGATGATCTTGGGATTCAGCGGGAACTGCCCCTACCTGGGCCACTGGAGGAAAGAAAGACAGGTAAGTTTGAGCCTACATTTTTGAAAAAGTAACATCCAACTCTGAATTATCTCTGTCTTGATAAAGCATACAGGCACCTTTGGTCGTGGAAACAGAGAAAATAGGCCATCTTTTTATTAACGAAGTGGGGGATTATTTAAAGACGGTGCAGAGCAGATAAAAGGGATTGCTGCTGTATCTCGTGGCTTCTTTGCTCACTTTAA